ACCTTGAACACTCTGAATGGACAGGTTTTGTCCTTGTCCATTTGCTAGCTTCACTTGCCCACGTCAAAATCTTTATACAATGTGTTTCTTGGATCAGGGCCCTTTTTGCAGCATCCTTTCTTGGGACCTCAGCTTTGTTCTGCCCTGTCGAAAGCACTTGCACCCATTAGGGTTAGATAATCTCTCCCACAAGGTAGCCTTCCTGGTTGCCATCACATCTGTCAGGCTTGTCTGAGTTGTGCTCTCGCTCTCATTCCTCATCTGTCATAGGTGCAAGGAAGTCCTATTCCCAAGACCATCCTTTCTTCCCAAGGTGATATAAGACTTCTACCTCAATGAAGTTATAGTTCTTCCACCTTTGTGCCCTACTCCCTAGAACACCAAACAAATTGCTTTTCCTTGTTCACAGGGTAGGTGCCCAAAGGGTATGTTCTCAGAACCTTTACTAGTGTCCAAACACCTGAAGGTAAATGAGCTTTTTGCCCAGGCTCTAAGAATATTCACCTGTCCTGTACTGTTCTCCAAGATATGGAATTTACAGGTAGGTTAAAATTCCTCTTTTTTTTCCTCTGATCTTCAACTCGGTCTAGTTGCCCTATTGCAGTATTTTTCTGAACCACACTGTTTTTATGAATGGCTACCATTCAAATAGAAGGAGAATATTTGATTTTGCCCAATTCCCACAGAACAGTTTTGCTAAACGAATACCTATGCTTTCATTTTTTTAATTAAACACAGCCCCCATTCCTCATAATTTTATTATGTTCAAGACTAAACATGAAAAACCTTTTATTTACCTTTAAAAAAAATAAATAAATAATGCACTTGAACACTTTTTTGGTTATATTGTGCAGCTAGCAGATGGAGCTCTAGATACTGCTGGCTGCACGGTTTCTTAATTTCATTAATTCTGTGCTATAAAGAGAGAGCGTAATGTGAATAATCCCCTGCTGTTCAGTAAAATGAAAACATTATCTACTTGTTTTCTTTTAGGTATAGCTGGTGGTCTTACAAATCTCTCAAAGATGCCTGCATGTAACGTCATGCTCTTGGGGGCTCAGAGGAAAACATTATCAGGTTTCTCCAGCACCTCTGTTTTACCTCATACCGGTTACATCTATCACAGTGACATTGTCCAGTCTTTACCACCAGTAAGTACACCTACTATGCACCTATTTAGCAAATATGTGTCTTCTTTATTACTTTCTATCCATATATAATATGTGTGTGTATGTTTGTATATATAATTTATTTACTTTTTTTTTTCCAGGACTTGCATCGGAAAGCAGCTCGGTTAGTAGATGCCAAATGCACCTTGGCCGCTCGTGTAGACAGTTTCCATGAGAGTCCTGAGGGAAAGGTCAGGTTTTAATGTTTGTGTAGTTTATACATTTTAAGGTAGTAGTGTTCTTTATTAACCGTTTGCCGCCCATGTCATGCATGTGTGGAAGCACAGAAGGTGGACTTTAACACCCACACCCACGCTGCACACATAGGCATCTGTGGACTGCATAGATTTATGTGCTAAGAGCACACTCCCAGCACAGAAAGCGATCTGTTAAAGATAGTGCTCGGTCTGTACTAATGATCAGAAACTGGTGGGACAGGCTCCCGATCATGTGACCACTGTGACAGCCAGTCACAGTAGTCACGTGATTAGGCAGACCTTCCCACCCCCCCCAGGCGTGATAGCTTAGTTAAAGGGATCCTGGAGAGGGTGGAAAGGGGTTAATTTATATGTGAATGTAATAGTTAATTGTTCATAGCCTGGATACAACTGCATTTAAACACAAACATCTTCCGTATATTTAACGAGCAGTAATAGAGCTTCAAAACAAGACCTCAGCCACCTTTCTAGATGCTTGAAATGCAAAGTAGTTCATTATGAAAGATCACAGCTTCAGCTTTGAGTACATTTCAGTATGTTTGTTCACCCATGTTCTTTGGTATTAATGGAAGGTTTTGTTGTGGTTGAGTAATTGTGCAGCTATTCCTCTTTAGGGCCCTTTCACACGGGTGATCCGATCAGATCCACCTATCAGTTTTTCAGGCATTCTTATGGATTGGCGGGTGTAAACAGACTTGTGTCTGTGTACACCTGCCTACCTCCAGGTTTGATCAGGCCTGCTAAAAAAAACATGGAGGACTGCGTCCTCTTCCGTTTGGGCATTTTTTATTAGACGTAGATGAGTGAGAGCCATAAATCATTGAATATGCAGTTTTACATTCAATAATTACAATGATACCATACAAAATTATGTCAACATAACAGAGTTCCTAGGTAGCATCCAATGCGTTTCAGAGTAACATTACTCCTCCTTCAGGGTCAAAAAACTCTGTACATAAAACATGTAGCCTCTAAGGACTGAAACATACATTACAGCCATACAATAACTGACAGTTGTAGACAATATTGTTATATAAATGTCAAAATCATAATACTCACAGCATACTGTGATAGAGCATCAATTTTACGGCACGTGTGAAGTAACGTCTGAATGAGAGCAATAATTCTAAGGCCATAATTTAATGTTAATGCTAAACTGATGACCTGTAAAGGCCTTTAAAGCATTGTCTTTTGCGATTTTACAAACTGTCACAATTTTAAGACTTGACATGTTTGATATCTATTTACTCAATGCATTCCCATCTTTTATTTTTTTTCCAAAATGAGGGTATAATATTGTTTTTGTTTGCACTAAAAACTCATTTTAGAGTATTTTTTCCTAAAAACTTGCATTTGATAAATGTGCAAATATCGTGCGACATAAAAAAATTGCAATTACCACCGTTTTATTCTCCATGGCCTCTGCTTTCAGAAAAGATATACTCCGAGTTGTTTACAGTAATATCTAGAAAATAAATCAGATTCAGGGAAGTGGGTTTAAACTCTGGTTTCCCCTTAAAGTGATATTAAAGGTTTGGTTTAACATGTTATACTTGCCTGCTCTGTGCCATGATTTTGCATAGACCAGCTCCGAACCTCCTCTTCTTGGATCCCCTGTCGGCACTCCTGGCTGCTCCTCCTTGACCAGTGCCCCCAGTAGCAAGTCGCTTGCTATAGGGGCACTGGTGCATGCTTGCTCCAGAGCCCTGCTCTATGCATACATACGATACATAGAGCTACAAATTGGCCTCATCCTCTGTACTCTCTCCTCGCTGGCTGTGATTGACAAGCAGTGGCTCCCTCTGCTGTGTCTCAGCCAATGTGGAGAAAGAGACCTAGGACAGCCTAGGCTCTCATTCACATCGCTGGATTGGGAGAGGGGTAAGTATTGTGGGGGCTGCTGCACACAGAAGGTTTTTTTTTTACCTTTATACATAGAGCTGGATGAGCATCATCTTAGTCTGGCTATCAAAACAGTGAAAATCCGTACCCAGAAAAAGATCTTCTACTATTAAGGGAGCTCCAGAATGCCACATTGCTGGAGTGAAGGTGAGTATAGATTTACTTTAATGTAGTGTGTGCAATATTATTTCTTCACCATCCTTTATGCAGTATGCCACCTGTGAACAGTGTTAAATGTTTGCAATAAAAATTATCTAATAATGATGATATATACCTGAGCTAATTGCAGCATTTATGGTGAAAAAGCAGCTAACACAGAAATGCAGGTAGCATATAAAATAATTACAAAAACCAATATGTAGCGCTTATTCAGCCTGCTCTTACACAAAATGTAATATGGCAATAAATTAGAGTCCTCAAAGTTCATCAAATGTGATTATATTTTATATAAAGCCCATATCTTTTAGAAGAGTAGTGTGCCACCAAAGAGAAGAAAAGAGGATCCTCCACCATCTCCACTCACAGCCTCTTACCAGAGAATGACCATAGGTCATGCGGTAACAGCAAGTATGAATAATCAATGGATGCAATGGATCCTAATGGATCTTCTCCACCAAACACAATTCCACAGCTGGTAACTCGATGGTTAAGATCTAGTTTTATAGCTCAGAGATAATCCAGAATGTATTAATATTGCACTTACAAACAGAAGAAGAAATCAGCATATAAAATCAGTGAAGTTTCCAGCCAACAAAATGGCTGCAGTGCATGGCATGATGACGTCATAATCCGTAGCTCCGTTGTGTCTGATTTTATATGCGTTTACTTATTTTACTTAGCCTCTTACCAGAGTAAGTATAATATCAGTGGTGACGGTGGAGGATCCTCTTTTCTTCTCTTTGGTGGCACATTACCCTTCTAAAGATAAGGGTTTTATATAAAATATAGTCAAATTTTATCTACTTTTTTGAGGACTCTAATTTATTGCCATATTACATGTTGTGTAATAGTGAGCTGAATAAGCTCTACATATTGGTTTTTGTAATAAACATTATTTGATTAGAGAAAAAAAAAGCTAATATTTCTGTATCTCTGTTGTAAACTTTGAAAATTAATTTCTTGTTTAAAGTTCTTTATGGTTTTCTTTGGAAAATGTTAATACTTAGTGTACATGATCTAGCTTTAACTTTTTTGCTACCAATGACGTTGGCAGCAGCAGAGGCTTTACACAAACCCCCAACTGCTACAACAGTTGAAAATGCATTTCAGGGTAGATTCACATCAGGTGCGGTGTGGGACTGCATTGGACGGCTATTAAAGCACAGTCCCACTGCACCCCCACCGTAAGACCAGGTAAAATGCCTTGTCTCCAGTATGGCCAGTTCACACTACTGTGTTGCAGTGGTGTGAGGTTGGTGTACTGCATGCAGTACTTTTTTCCCAGTGTAGCGAAATCATTGCATACCAGCCAGTAGACCTTTCTGAAATGTTTGGCATTTCAATAAAGATTGTTTAACAACTTGCGTACCGGGCACTTATACCCCCTTCTTTACCAGGCCAATTTTCAGCTTTCAGCGCTGTCTCACTTTGAATGACAATTGCACGGTCATGCAAGATTTTACCCATATGACATTTTTATCATTTTTTTTTCTCACAAATAGAGCTTTCTTTTGGTGGTATTTAATCGCCGCTGGGCACTTTACTTTTTGCGCTATAAACAAAAAAAGTGCAAAAAATTAGAAAAAAAAAAGTTTCTTTGTTTCAATTATAAAATTTTTCAAACAGGTAATTTTTCTCCTTCACTGATGTGCGTTGATGAGGCAGCACTGATGGGCACTAAAAGGCGGCACTGATGGGCAGCACTGATGGGAATTGATAGGCAGCACTAATGAGGTGGCACGGATAGGCGGCACTAATGAGGTGTCACGGATAGACGGCATTGATAGGTGGCACTGACTGGCATCACTGCTGGGCACTGACTGGCGGCAATGCTAGGCATTGACTGGCACAACTGCTGGGCACTGACTGGCAGCACTGCTGAGCTGCACTGGTGGGTGGCACTGGTGGGCACTGCTGGGTGGCACAGGTGGGTGCACTGCTGGGCACAGGTGGGCGGAACTGATGGGTGGCACTGCTGGGCACCGATCATCAAGGCACTGATCATCAGTGCCCTGATGATCGGTGCCGATCCTGCTCTGACAACTGCTGGTTCTCGGCAGCACTTTCCTCACGCTTTCACAGCGTGAGGATAGTGCAGCCGAGAACCAGCAACTGCATTTCCCGGTGATAAGCGTGTAATTGGACACGGCTGATCAAGTGGTAAAAGGCCGCTGTGATTGGCCTTTTATCACACCACGTGATCAGCTGTGTCCGTAGGACACAGCGATCATGGAGATCGCCGGCGGCGCACCCCCGGGGGTGCGCAAGATAGCGCGCTCTGGGAGGACGTCATATAATGCCTTTTGTGAATGCACATATGAGAACTTTTGTGAATGCACATTCCACAGGAGCTTTGGTTGCTTCTTGGTCCGAGAGCTGGTGCCTCACCAGAACCGATCTGTAAAACGGTCACTTGGTCTAACTTTTTGACCTATGTTGAGCAATATCACCTTGACCTCCTTTCTGCTCAAGAATAGGCGTTTGGTCGCAAGATCCTCCAGGCAGTGGTCCCTCCCTAGGCTGGTAAGTTCTTGCTCATTGTTTCATGGACTGTCCTGGAAGATGAGCTGAGAAAACCAGAGTTAGACTTTCCAGTAACTCCTTTTCTGGGAGTCTTCCAGGAAAGCCATATTTCCCACCCGGCTAAGTCTTTGATTATGTGTTTGTTTTACAGTGCTGTCTTATGGGTCTCATGAATATTGAAGGAAAGGCCTGGAGAACTTTGTTTTAAGTAGTGGGGGTTTACGTGTTTCCTGTCCCAGTAAGAGGAGCTCTGTTTTTTGGCCTCTTCTCTGTACTCTCCTCTGCTGCTTTAGATACCTCTGTTCAGTCGGTTGCTTACATCCATCTGGTTGACAGCTTTCTGTGACCTCACATCTAGTTTGTGCATTTTTGTTGCTGGGATTCTGGTTATCTTGCATTACAGCATCATCATTTTGCGCCCCCCCCCCCTTGTGGCACTGGCATTTTCCGTATTGTTTGGCCATCAAGTTGGTTATGTCTGTAGCCTTTGAGTGACACCGTATCGCACCAAGTACGGCGCCAATCTGTGGAGTGGAACTCTGATCCCATTTTCTTACAAATCACCAGTGACTAATTAATATTGCAACAATATTACTTGCAGTATATAGTGACTTTCCTTGGTACAGAGATTACTTCATTTACAGTCCCCAAGTATCCTTTTTGAAGTGCTACCACTTGTCCTACATTTTGTATTTAGATTCATATCGTGCTCTGGTTGGCAGGGAGAGTGCGGGCTTTTAGCAGTGAAAATGCTGATAACCCTCCCCCCCCCCCCCCCCCCCCCAGTATAACCCAGAATGACACAGTACAGGTTACAACACTGTAGTAAATTCACTGTAGGTGAAATAGTTTTGCCCTGCAGAAGGAAGGGGGAGTCGCTGGCATTATCAAAGGTGTTTAAATCTTTGTGTTAATGTGCCTTGTTTTAAAAAAAGAAAAAATTGCTCTTTACATAATTTTTTTAACCATACCATAGTAATATGACGGACGCAAGGTGGTTCTCTCGTTCTGGGAGGACGTCATATGACGTCCTCCCATTCTCACCGCGCATGCGCGGCTCGCGGAGCGCAGCGATCGGCGGTGAGCTGTGTCCCTCGGACACAGTGGATCACCAATCCATGGAAAGAGCCGAAGATGTCAGCTTGGTCATGTGATCAGCTGTGTCCAATCACAGCTGATCACATGTAAACAGGGAAATGCCAGTTATCGGCATTTCTCTCCCCACGAGCTGTCACGCTGACAGCTCGTGAGGAGAGGAGAGCCGGTAATCGGCATTCCTCGGAGGGGACATCTACACAGATCATCAGAGCACTGATGATCAGTGTGCCGTGATGATCTGTGTAGCCCCAGCAGTGCCACCTGTCAGTGTCCATCAGTGCCAGCTCTGTGGTCATCCATACCACCTGCCAGTGCCCATCAATGCCACATATCAGTGCCCATCTGAGCTGCCTTTCAGTGCCACCTATCAGTACTACCTATCAGTGCCAGTCAGTGCCACCTATCAGTGTGCATCAGTGCCACCTAACAGTGCCAGTCAGTGCCGCCTATTAGTGTGCATCAGTGCCACCTAACAGTGCCAGTCAGTGCCACCTATTAGTGTGCATCAGTGCCACCTAACAGTGCCAGTCAGTGCCACCTAACAGTGCCAGTCATTGTCGCCTATCGGTGCCATATATGAGTGCTGCCTTTCAGTGCCCATCAGTGATGCCTGTCAATGCCCATCACTGCAGCCTCATTAGCGCACATCAGTTAAGGAGAAAAATCATTTACAAAATTTTATAACAAAAACTAAGAAAAAACTTTTTTATTTTCAATGGTTTGTGGTTTGATTAAGAAAAAATAAAAAACCCAGAGGTGATTAAATACCACCAAAATAAAGCTCTATCACAAAAAAAATGATAAAAATTTCATATGGGTACAGTGTTGCATGACCGTGCAATTGTCATTCAAAGTGCAGCAGTGCTGAAAGCTGGAAATTGGCATGGGCAGGAAGGGGGTGTAAGTCAGCTAGTTGTTTGGTACATATCAATGCGGATCTTTTTCTTTAGAAGCACAGCACAGTGTGTTTGCATGATTCTGTGAAAATATGTGGCTGACTCAAATAGTATACATTTACAGAATGCTGTGGGAGTGACAGTAAGCAGATTCTTTCCAAACAGTTATTCTACAAAGGCTGCCAAGACACAAGCGTGTCAAGTAATTTGCAAATACATATGCTGGTATTGGAGTTTTGAGGGATACACCCCCTAATCAAAAAACGTCCTCCAGTTATCTTAGTTGTGCTCTAGTTTTCTTTTTCCCTCTTCCTCACCACAGCTACTATTACTGTACTGGGAGTGTCTGTTTGCTTTAGGAGCACCAGCTGGCAGTGTTTGCCTGCTTGTGGACATTACACACTACACACACCCAAAAAATCTTCAGAAAGTACACATAGCATGTGTAGAATTCACGGTGCTGTGTAAATTCAGCAGGTATAATATCTGCTTCTGTCTCAGTCTGTTCAGACTGTAGATAGATATAAAGTATCATTGCCACTTTTGCATCTACTTAGTGCCTTGGAGACCTTATGTGTGGACCAGAGACTGAGGACCTGAAATGCTGACTTGAGCTCTAGCACCACAGGACCGTGTTACAGTTGCCACATGCTGCGGCGGGAGGGGGATGTTCTGTATTTCCCTGCCCGCTCTGTGTTTCAGCGCCTCACCCCCCCATGGGTTTGGCTGGGGGACAGCACGTGGTAGGCTGCCTATCCAGACACGAGGCTGCGCCCTCCCTCCTCTTCCTACATGACTTCTGCCTTTGCCTTGTCCTTGTGCAGGAGACGGCTATGCTGTAGCCTGGCGCCCTTCCCTTGTTTCGCCACTGGGGGGTGGGGCCTAATTGGCGGTCGGTCCAGTAGCTCAAAGGAAAGGAAAGAAAGGAAGCGCCATCTAAGTGCAGACTGCAAAGATAATTTTAATAAATCAACGATCATAAACGCATACAAACTGGAAGAATGTGGTTTGTGAAATAAAAAGCCTCTGGGTCCTGGACCTGTGTCCATATCGGCATGGTGGCAGGCTGGAAGCGATGTGCGACAAGCAGAAGACACTGTCTGGAATCCCAGAAGACGCTCGGAACCAGCATGGTAAGCACGCTCGTGTCTGGTGGAAGTGACATCAGCAAGGACTGGAACAACAGATTTGCAGAATCACTTTGAGCTCCTGGTTCCTTCTATTGGCATAGTGCAGTATAGCACTGAAGAGCTAATATATAATAATCTCCGGCGACCGGAGGAGTGGAGGACTACAGGGGACAACAATGCCTCAGAGTGCAATTATTGACTATTTAACACAAAGAGTTCAGCACATGGGTATATCACATGGAAAAAATATGCATTATAAAATTTTGCAAATGAGAATATAAAATATACATATATGGAATATTTAGGAATACATAATAAAAAAAACTCAGACCGTAACCAAAATATACACACATTTGGATTGCTACATATTTTTTTCTCATACGTTCATTGATGGACACATTTGCTTCTTCTATTCATAACCAAATAGGGTTTTATAGCCCCATCTACAGGAGTAGGACACCTGGAAGGAAACAAACGTGGCACCTCCTATGGGCAGTCCTCTCTGGGCATAAAACCCCCTCTCTGCTATAGGCCTCCACTCATGCTGCCTAGTGTCTTTAGGAGTATGGACCTGTTGTTTTGCTGGGACTTGTGGTCCCATAGCATATTTTTTTTTTACAGAATTTTTGCCTATTCTCCACAGAGATCTATCAACAGTGAGGCTGGGCGATGGGATGGATAATCTAGATCCAGTGGTCTCCCCAGTCAGACTGCTAGCTCCGCCCTTGGTCGATCGCAACTATGTCCCATCCTGGACTGGGGCGGCCAGCGAGTTAGTCTCGTGGGGACATATATGACCAGGCTCCTATAGTCTGTGTCAGTGTTACCCCTGGCTGACAGCCCCCCATTTCGGTGGAGAGGAGGATTTGTCATGGGAGTGTTATCCGCATACTCAATGACTCGGTAAGTAGCTCTTACCCCCTTCTTACCCTCAAGGTCGCAGAGCAGAGCGCAAGTACTCCTTGGGGCGGTCGGTCCCTCCTGGGTCTCCATCACCCTCTGGGCAATAGTGGCTGATCTCCATACCCTTCCCCCACCTACCCTACTCTCTCCTTGTGTGTATGGCAGACCTCGGGTACTTTGTATGACCCCCTTGGGTGGTAGTGGGTCCAGGTTGGTCAGTCCTCCCCATTGAGCTGTTGTTGTCCCACTCTTTAGGACCATGAATGTTGGCTGGTTGGAGGACATGCTGTAGCGATGCCTTTCCTGCTCTCCTGGGCTCCTGAATAACCCAGTCGCACCCTGCTCCCCCTCATGGGCTGCAGCGGCCATCTTTTGGTGGATCGGCTCTTCCCTGTATGGACCTCCCTACCCCTCCAGGAGTGAAGGGGGCCCTGTGGCTGTTAGGATGCGGGGGGGGGGGGGGGCTCCATGCGGCTGCCCGTCAGTGGTGGTTTTTGTGGGCAGCTTGCGGGCGAGCGCCTCATGCAGTCAGGCAGGCCATGGCCTACTAAAAAACAGGTGGCCAGAACCGCCATCTCCCTTGGGGGCATTTTCCCTCTCCTAACGTCACTTTCGGCTCAGAGTCTCCGGGCTGGGGGTGGATGTGCTTTGGAGGGGGCCCTCCTCTTGCTTGGGTGACGCTCGGCTAGGCAATGCGGCCTTGTGGGGTCATGTCCAGTGCCCTCCCTTCCCGGCCTGTGTCTGGTGAGAGGGGTGCCTGCGCCAACCATTTTCCTTGAAGACATCTACCTCTCCCAGCTGTTCTCCATTCTCTGCTCCCCCTACTTGTCAGCTGGTTTAGACAGGTGTCAGCGGAGTGATGGGAAAGAGTACTGTCTTCAATCCAGCCAGCATCATGGTCAACCGCTGCAGTGGGGCTTTCTGCTGCCTGGCAATTCTAATCTGCCAGCACTGAGGTGTATCAGGAATGGGGGTGTTAGTGCCAACCCTGTTGGGGGTCCCTACCACCTTATTCACTTGATTCTTTGGGGCTGGACAGCTGTCCCTGTTTATTCTGCATGGGTAGTGTGGGGTCCCTTCCTGGTGTTTGTGGACTGTGGTGGGGTACCTGGGCTGTACTGTGTGTGGATGTGCTCCTGTCCACAGGCCAGTGGAACTGTCCCTGCTGGTTTCCTTTTCACTCATGTATGTGTAGTGGATCCACCCAGGGGGATACCTGTGTTGTCTAGACGCCTCCTACCTTCCTGCCTTCTGAAGGTGTCTCTCTGCCCTCATGTCCTGGACCCCCTGGGGTCTCAAGTATCTATGCTACTGGTGGTGGAGTCTCCCCTTTACATTTGAGAGGATGGAATCTGAAGCAGGTTTCCCGGTTGGCATACATCATGCTGATTCACACTGGTCCAGAGCATCCAGTATGTGCTTGTTGGCTGTGCCCCTGACTTCTAGTGCATACCTCAAGTGTATACAGAATGGTCCAATGATTTAATGACATTTGTGACGTGTCCCTGGATGTTGCACCATTCCTCTACAGACCTTTTGTTTCAGCAGTGGGCTGTGCGGGGGGGCCCTTGGCTCAAAGGTTGCTCTGCTACCCAGCCTTTCAAATAGGCCTTGGCAGTCCTGCCCTTCCAGGGTGTCCTACTTTTTGGGGCTACATTTGAACATGGGTAATGAGCCGCAGGAGCAAGACTGAGTGTCCTCCATGGCGCATGAGCGGATTTTTTTTTTTTGTTTCCCTGGGTCCTGACCAGGGTTCAAAACTTTTTAGGACTCCAGCTGGCAGTGCCAAGTGATCATGGTCCCATATGCAGCCCAGACCCGCAGCTCATTTCTCCTAAGCATAGAGGTCCACTCCCATTCTTTCTAGTGTGTGTGTGTGTGTGTGTGTGTGTGTGTGTGTGTGTGTGTGTGTGTGTGGGCGGGGGGGGGGGTCATCTTGTGGTTTTCGGGCCCAAGAACCTTTCTCATCATCGTGCTTATCAAGATTTTGGCCAGTCCGGGTCTTGTGTAGACTGGAGGATTGCTGTGAGCGATTACCTGGACTACTGCTTCTGGAGACTCATTCATTGCATCCCCCGGATACTGTGGAGACCATCCTCTACAGGACTTCCAGTGGATTCTGCACCTCAGGAAGTCTGTTAATCTTCTCCAAGTGGCTGGAGTATCTGGGGCTGATTCTCAATTTGGAGCAGGCTGTGGTGCGCAGGAGGATGGGAGATCAGCGGTCCTACTATTCTTGTCCTGCAAATGCCGTACCTGTGGTTCTGCATATAGGTCTTTGGCTTGCTAGTGGCTACGCTTTGAAGCAGTTCCATATCTCCAATACCCAGTTCCATATGAGAATGCTGCAGATAGAACTATTTTCCACATGGAACTCGTCTCTGCTTCCCTGCATGTTCGTTTCTTCTGGAGCAGTTGACAAGGGCCTCTATTTTCTAGTAGCTGCGGTCTTGGACTCTATGCACCAGGAGGTCCTTCCTCTTTGTTGAACTGTGGCCTCTACAGATGCCAGGCTGGGGAGCTGACCTGGGATCGGAATCATCCAAGGATCACTGGCCTCCGGGAGCAGCTTGACTGCCCTT